TTACTCACCGGTCTGTTGTTCCGCACGCCGAACCATTCGACCACGTGTCGCTCATGAAGCAATTCTCCGGCTTTGTTCTGGGCGAACTCTTCAACTTCGATAAGTGACTTCAGGCTTCTGGGCGAACTCTGACTTCGCTCTGGAACAATCGTCGATAATCCGTGCGTCTACGTGTGCCGCTCGAAGGGCCGATTTCTCCGACGCGATTAGATCCAATCGCGAGGTTTAATTGACCGTGGACAGCAATCTACGGCGATGATACACGCAATTAAAGACTATCAACGTCGGGGAAATCGATCCTGGAGCGATTCACTGGTGGCGGCAGAAAAGATAAGCAAGTACTCGCAGTCCAGCTCGACTTCCTATTATTAGTCCTGTCTAATACGCGACGTATTGAGAAAGGAAAAAAAACGAAAGAAACGCGCGCCGGGTGTACTACTACTCGAGGTAAATCTCCTTGTCGGTAATAGCATGAATGTCGATTTCGCGCGATACGCCTTATAAAGAACGTATTATTATCAACTGCTGAACTTCGTATCAACTGTTGAACTCCGTATCAGACGTTTTGTCCGCTGTGCTTCAAATGCGCCACTAAAGATATCGCTCAATCGAACACCTGGCGAAAGCACTCACCCCGAAAGATGTATTCTCACTACTTGAAAAGTAGAAGAACCGTTTTAACCTAACCTGACTTAACCGTCGACTCGTAATGACCGTATCACACTTGCGACTACGGCTCTTCTGCTTTTGCGTTCGACCAATCCAGCAGCCAGCAGCTCCTTTCCGATTGGAACACAGACGCAGTCTATAATCGCTACTGTGACACGGCCATAACGGCGACTGGGGGTGCTTTCCAGTTACGTACACTGTGTTACACAAAACCAGTTTATTGATTACATATTTTCTTACAAGATATTTTAGATAATATGTGACCAACAAACTGATTTTGTGTAATACAGTTGCTCTGTTTTTTTCAGCTGCACTGCTGAACTGGTGCAATAAGTTAGAGTGAGAAAAAATATACTTGTCTCACTTTAACTTATTGCACCAGTTCAGCAGTACAGCTGAAAAGAACAGACCAAGTGTAAGTCCCGATTTACAATAGGTGCAGTAAGCTTTAAGAAATTAACCAATCAGGATTGATTATTCTTCTATAATTCGACTATGTTCAATTTCTTAAAGCTTAAAGTTTACTACATCTTTTGTAGATCGGGATTAACGTAGCTGGAAAACACCCTGGAACTGAAACTGGAAGTTTACTCAGTCGAGTAGATTGAAACTCTACTACTTAGTACGGATGCAAACCTGTTACCGACATGTGCGCTACGTAGTATTGCAGCGCGCCGCTAGATGGCGCCAGGCGGCCCGCTAGACGCTTCCAGTAGGTCGCGTGACGCAGTGAGATCGCGCCGGCCGGCCCGTTCAGTCGCGCTCTAAGATCATTCGGTGTAGTTTTGGGGTCTCCGTTACAAGTCGTCATCGTCTCTGGCGAAAAAACGAGATCGCAGTGCACCACTCAACGGTAATCAGGCGGGCATTTTGTTTTCGTGGACCGTGTCTCGACGATGGATACGGCGGGGCTTTATTTTTCAGTCGCGCGGCGCTACGGACGACCGGACGACGAGTTACACCGCTGCCGAGGACGAGAATTCCACCGGCACGGGCTTGCAAGGGCTCGCAAGCGCCAGGTAATTCAAATAGAGCAACGTAGCTATATCTCCTCGCCGTTCATCCTCCCTCTCCTAGCCATCATTCAACGCCACTTCGAGCGCCATTCCTTCTTTCCCATCATTATTCTTCACTCGTTACTCGTCATTGTCACCGTGCTCGATTATCGATAAATGAACGCAGTCAATTGAAGGGTTCAGCGCAAGTCCGCAATTTGCAAGGCTCGCATTGAATATGAACGACCAAGCCAGCAAATTACAGGCCGGTACGTCCGCGCGCATTGTCCCTCTCGACTTCCTTCTACTCTGACGTTTTACCGTCGACACGAGCAACGGTGACATCGACATGAGAGACATGAGGTAGACTGTAATTTATGAGGTCCACCTTTCAAATTCGAGTCGAGCTCCTCCAGTTTGCGCATCGCGGACTCGCGTCGTTCTTGTCGCCTCGTTTCATTTGAATTTTCTCTCTCTTTCTCTGTCCCCCTCTCGATACTGTCTCCCGTCAGCGTCGTGATTGGACCGTTTCACACGACGGGTGACGACGCAGGAATAACACGAGCCCGCACTTCACAAGATTCTCTTTGAATCTTAACCGTTGCGGCCTTGTAAATCACGGCTACGGCATCTTCAGACAGCATAAATGTCTGAAAGACGTCTCACAGACGTCTGAGAAAACATCCTGGTCGTTTTAGACGTCCTTCAGATGTCTCTGAGTTGTATTTTACATTCATAAGTTGTATTTTACATTCATAAGGCCGTTTTTGCTGCTGGTCTGAACCCAGACAGCATAAATTTTTGAAAGATTTCCCAATTCTCCCATCAATGCACTGGTAGCCATTTTGAATTGCGCGCGAGCCGTCGAACGTGTCAAAACGTGTTTTATCGACGCGGCGTGTTACATCAAGGGGCTTATTGTTCGACAACTCTCAGACAGAATGGGATAGAAAGGAATATTTGAGGCTCAGCAGCTGCTATATCATCGTTTCCGCAGTGACATGTGCTGAAATTCCCAGGTGTCTGATGTATTGATGGGAAGGTAAAAGATTATACATTGACAAAAGGGTTAAAGGCATCTTAAAATGACAGATTTTAGACGTCTAAAAAATATTTTTGAATGGTAGTATGCCTGCAGACTTATTTAAAATACGTCTAAAATAGTAAACTTGGCATAATTTGGAGTAAGAAATAATTGTGTTGTAGACGAGCTTTAGAGATATATCCTTTGGACGCTTAAGTCCTTGTCCACAACCTTGTTAAACCGTAAGAAATTGACCAACTGCAGTCGATTAATAGTCGATCAGTTTCTTACGGCTTACGTCTTAAAGTAAAGTTGTGGACAAGGACTAAAAGAAAGGAGGAGAATCCTAAGGCCGGTTTTTGGCACCCTCTGAAATTAAACCAAAAATATGAGAAACGTTATATTTTTGTAAGATCTATTGAAATAAAATGATTTTAGTCTAAACGGACATATTTTGGTGCCTGTTTATACTATAATTCTAATTAATCCTATTTTTACCACCAACGCTCTTTGTCGCTTACATATCATCTCCTTACATTTGTAAGTATACTTGAAGTATCGAGCGCGCGCGTGCACACACACATACCCAGCCAACAGATTTTATTCCAGAATATTCCGGAAAATGCTATAAATCCTCCTAGAGGAATATTCTGAAATAAATATTCTAATATTGTTATAGGAATATGAATCTTCTCTGTAATTTGGAATATTCGTAATTGAATAATATGTATTCTGTATGGAATATTATCCGAATGTGATTTTTGAAATATTCAAAAATCTTGTATATTGGAAAAATAATCTTGTATATTCGAAAAATAATCTTGTATATTCGAAAAATAATCTTGTATATTCGAAAAATAATCTTATATACGCAGCCAGCACATAATATTCGTGGAAAGGAAATCTTCTTATACGAATATTATGAAATGAATATTCCAATATCATCATAGGAATATGAATCTTCTCTGTAATTTAACTTGGAATATTTATAATTGAATAATATTATGTGCGTTTTATGGAATATTCGACGAAAATGACTTTTCAAATATTCAAGAAACCTTGTATATTCAAATATTCGGAAATCTTGTAAGCATATGTGCTACGAGATACACCTATTTTCATATATTGAAAAGTTTAAAGGAGCTAATTGAAAATTTTTACTCTGTACTAAATTCGGTACATTAATAAAGAATACTTCGAAAGCGAATAAGAGCTCAAAGCGAACGACACATGTACCATTATAATAGTCGTTCTCATCAGTTAATAGTAGTGGCTCAGTAGGTAAGGCGAGTTTCTCAAGAACTTAAGGGCCTCAGGTTCTCGAGTCCCACTAGAGTTAGCGATTTTTTCCAAGCAAATTATAAATGGAATCAATTAAGTGGCACACCATTACAAAAAAATTGCAATAACTAGAATCACATTAGCAATCACAACAAATATTCTAGGATTAAAGATCTTCATTTAACAACTTTTCTAACAAAAGCTTTTTTCCCAATTAAGTTAGGTTATTAGAATATTCTTCGATCGAAAATTAAATCATGCATAGAATATTCTATGAATATATATGGGAATATTCCCGAAGAATATTATTAGAATATTTAAGATAGTGTTCTTTTGAAAACATAAGAATATTCCCAGAATATTTATCTTCTTAAAAGAATATTTATCTTCTTAAAAGAACTTTCTACGAATATTCAAATCTTCCTATTGAAAGATCGGAAGATATTCCAGGAACGAATTTGTGTTGGCTGGGCACATAAATGTAAGGAGATGATATGCAGGATTGCAGGACATAAAAGCGTTGGTGATAAAAATGGGATTAATTAGAATTATAGTATAAACAGGCACCAAAATATATCCGTTTAGAATAAAATCAATAGATCTTACAAAAATATAATATTCTTCTGATATTTTTGGATCAATTTCAGAGGGTGCCAAAAACCGGTCTTAGGGATCCTCCTCCTTTGAAGATAACCTCCTTTAGGATGTCTTTAGGCACCTTTCATAGTTTCTCTAGGTTGTGATTCAAAAAATGTTCTCGAATATACATGTTACTTTGGCGTGTGGCTATGTGAAAAGTGGCTTTGCTCATGCCGACACGCATTCGACGTTTATGGGAGAGATGACTTTTGGCCCAACGGCAGTTGGGTTGTGAAGTAGAGCCCCGTCTGGAAAACTGTTCGCTCAACGCGTTCCCCCGTCGGTTAACAGGCTTGTCGCGTTTCAGCCGCGGTTTCCAGGCCCGAAGCGAAGCACGACGAGGTAGGCGATGGCAGCGCACGATCCACGCTTGTAAGATCGCCGTTTGCCGCGTGGCATCGGCGGAAACGGCCGTGGATCGCCGAGCTCGCTTGCTCGCTCACTCTCCCGCCCGCTCCGACGCGACGGCCGCGGCAGTTGCATGTCGGATTTTGTGCCGCGCGTGTTTCGCCCCGCGGCTGCTGCTGGTTCCGCTCGCCGAGACGGTGGTAAGTAAAGCTGCCCATTTAAATCGTCCCACCTGTCCCGTCCGTCCCGATCGATACGCGGGCCGATCGGCTCGAGGCTTTCCGGGGCGGCGATCGCGTCGGAAACGCGCGCGTTTCCTCTGCACCAGGTAATACACTTTCGCAGGAACGCAGGCGCGCGCGTGATCGTTCCGCCAGATGTAACTGATAACACGCACTGTCCCGCGTCAAGTCACCGTCGACGTTTGGTTCGACGCCGGGTGAACGTTGCGAACGAAAAGGAGAAAGGTTGACGGAGCCGACGCGGTCTCCGGCTGAATCGGGGCGTTCTCGCGGGCAAATCATTGAATATTTTGGAGTGACTGATCGAGCGTAACGTCGGTGCTCGAATCGGCCGGATGAATATCACAGGCGAAAATGAGACGAGGATGATGACAAAACCACAACGCTTTCGCCGGGGAAACGCCGGAATAGGCGTTTCCTCGCGGACAAATAATTGAGTCTTTCTAAGGGTATAATCGAGTGTCTCACCGCTACCGACGTTCGAATTGGTAGGGTAAATATTGCAAACGAAAATAAAGAGAGAAAGATGACATAACCGACGATGTCCGGGTGAATCAACGCTTTCATAAATAATTGGATATTTCTAAGTAAATAATTGACTCACTGTTTACCGTCGGCGTGAATATCAGCTGGGTAAACGTTGCAAAAAAGAAAAGGAACGACAGAGCCGGTGTGGACTTGTAGCAGCCTTATTGACGAATGACTGATTATTTGTAAGAAATTAATTGACCCGTTGTCAAACGAATGTCAGCTTTCAGAGACATTCCCTGGAGAGTCGACTGACAAGCTCGAGTGCGACTAGTCTAACTGAATTTTGTTTCTTCTCGAGCAACTCACAACAACGAGCTGTTGTGTTAACCAGCTCGAAGGCTGGCCTCGCGAGTACGAGGTCGAACGTAGCACGCTTAAGGAAACCCGACAGATCGTCCGCGTGAAAGACACCCCGTGGCTGTATTCTTGAAAAATATCGCGTACGATATTTCTATGAAAAGTTATAGTGCACACGGAAAAAATCTTGGTGCACATCCGAATAGGAACCAACTGAAAATTAGGTGATCAGAAGTGATATCTCTGCTATAAAAACTAATATTTCTATTGTCGCAACCGAAAATATTCGTCTGAACATTCAGCGACATTAGAACTCGGTCGAGACAACTGAGAACGATTTATTATACAGAAGCCTCATAAAGGAATTTTTCTGTTTCTACAACCAAGTATTCATCTAATCCCTGAACAAAATTTGGTTGCACCAACGGAATTGTTTTTTCCATGCACTACATAACATGAACTACAGTTTTTCGCAGAAATCATACGTATGCGATATTTTCCGAAGACAAGGCCGCCTTTTATCAGAACGTCCGATAAGAAAATTGCAATCGCGACTCCTCAAAATTTTAACGACGTGACGCCCGGCGAAAATCCGGATGAAGCTTTACATAACACACCACACACACACACACACACACATCGCTGACTCTTGCGTGAGTCGGGGAGAGTCGGTGCAGAAATGCAAAGTACCACATGCGCCCGCGAGATAGGAATTTTTGCGCGCCGCCAGTTTATCTAGTCCGTGATTAGGAGAGTGGAACGAGGCGCAGCAGGTGCGCCCATGCAAACGTCGGCGGCGCGTGTGAATTAGTGTGTGAACCCGCGCGCAAGCACCTCTCCGTGTGCTCCGTCGTAAAACTATCGGTTACCGGCGTACGAACGAACGAGTGAACGCAAGGGGAGGCAAAGCCGGTGAAAAAAAGGAGAAGGAAGGAAAATTACCTGCGTATTCTCCACGCATAATGCACGACGATACGACACGCACTTGCACCGCGCGAAGCACCATCGGTTGCGAAAACGGCGGGCGGGTGAGCACAACCTTTTGCAAAACCTCCTGCAATTACCGTCGATGGTCTCGCGACGTATGCCGCCTTTTCCGCGCGTTCTCGCCGCGGCCTCTCTCTCTCTTTCTCTCTATCTATCTATCTATCTATCTATCTATCTCTCCCTCTCACGCGCGCGAAAGAGAACGAGACGCAAAAACAATCGCGGATATCGGCAAAGCGATAACGATTTCGATCAATAGCGATCGATACGGAGGAGGAGCGTTTCGGATGAGCGGAATACCGTGACAGATCGCGGCGAATCGACGTGAAAGAAGCGCGTCGCGTTCGCGTCTTGCGCTTCATTAATCGTCTGTGTGGCCGATCCCTTGATCTCCACGTCGATTTCTGGTGAAAGAATTACACCGCGACCGCCGTGGAGAATGTCTCGTCAGCCCGATCAGTCAACGTGAAATTTGTCAGTCCGCCTTATCTGGAACTCTTCTTATCGAGATCATCGCGAGATTGTGCGACTCGCGTCGCAGACCGCCGATACTTGACTTTAGTTATTCATATGACGCGTCGTGTTAATTACGAGCCACGCCGCTGTCCTTAATCGAGACAGTTAAACCAATTTCCCGCGATTCTTCGGAATTCTCCCGGGCGACCAGGTTCTCGGCGCACGACGGCTATTTTGTAACCTAGGATTAATTTCAAGCCTCAAGGAAGATTCTCGACGAGAAATTTATCCTACTGGTTACTTTACAAAATTTTACAATTCCCTAATCAGGTTAATCTCACACTGAAAAATTAATATTCTTGTCTTAGAAAAATCCTCTAAAATAGGCACCAAGTATAAAATATTCTAAATATAAGATTTATTCCTCTTGTTTTGAGAAACTCTGTCTCTGTGTAGAGAATTTTCTTTCAAAACAAGAGGAACAAATTTTAGAATATTTTAGATTTGGTGTCTATTTTAGAGGATTTTTCTAAGAACAAGAATATCAATTTTTTAGTGCAATTAGTTTGTATAAGGTGATGTTATTAGAAGTCTTAATTATTAATAATCTTTATCATTAATAAACTCCTGATTGCCATATTGCGTCATAAGCACTGCAAAAAGGTACTTGAAATTGATTTGCGATATATATAAAGTTTATTTTAAGTAAACTTTAAAAATATTGAAGTTTATTTCTGTGAATAAACTTTGTAATCCAAAAATAAATTTTCAAGTACTTTCCCTCAACGTGACTTATCGGTTAATATTATCTTATATACAGTGAAAAATAAACACTTGAAAATTTATTCGTAAAATGTAGGGTTTATTCACAGAAGTCAACTTTGTGTTCCAAGAAATTTCCAAGTATTTTTTTTCCGTATAGAAGGCCAGATAATCGATTGAGATCAACCTTACCAGAACAATAAGATAAATTTCTAGGTGGATTAACTTTTCAGAAATTCCTGGGATATGTAATATTAAAGATTTTGTGAAAGCTTCGCATCTTTCACGTCATTCACGGTGCCTGATAAAAATTAAGTGTGTACACTGAGTCAGAGCTCTATTGAATATTTCGACCTCCCAATTATTAACAAAGTGTATTTTAAAGAAAAGAAAGAAGAAGTAACTTCGCAGCTTTAGCATGTCGTCGTCGGTAGAATTCTTGACGTGTGCGAGACTCATCGAAATCGGAGACAGGGACTGCGGCGAACGTCTCTTCCATGCACGTCTCTTTGGCGAAAGTAACGCGGCGAAAGTGAGTTAACAGAATTGCGATTACCCTGCACTTGCGCCTCGAAAAGTCTCGCTGTCATTTAGCCGCTCTTAGCGACGATACATAACGTATGACGTTGAACCGCGTTACGCAACCGCGGAAAAAGGATCGCCCGATCTCTATATATGTAGAGGAGGCGGTCTCGCCGTGAGAGACGAGTATGCCCGTGACTCATGCGACCGTGTGCACTTAAACGTGAATCGTGGCTGCTTCCGATCTGTGTCGATCTCATTATTATTGATAGAGAGGCTCTTTCGAGGGTAAATCCTGCGAGAATTTGCATACTACATTGCAAAAAAAAGATTCATCGCAGCTCAAGTTGTGTGCGAAATCAGCACGGAGAGAATTTTGAATAAAAATTACTTTAAACTTTTCGATCGACATTCCGCAGTAATTCACTATCCTTTCATTTCACACGTACTATTTATACATTTTGAGAACTAAGATGTGTTACTAAAAGATTTGCCATCTTTCTAGCAAAACAATAAAATTCTAGGGGAATTTACTATGTTTCTTAGCAAGATAAATTTGACAGTTTATTTGTGTGTGTGTGTGTGTGTGCACTGCTGGAAACAGAAAATCCAAAAAAATTCAGAAGTAGAAACTGTAATGTTCTCTCTGTGAGTGAGTCTAATTATTTCAGGAAAATTTTGGTGTTCTTTAAATCTCAGTGCAAAGCACACTTAAAATTTAGTTCAATGAGGCGATCCAACGCATTATTAGTCTAATTTACTCATCGTCTGATTTACTCAACCTTCCAACCAGAGGAGGAATTACTCGTATTACGCAGTTAGATCAAACTCTTGATAGTTGAAAGGAATTCTATTGTTCTATTTGAATACTGATAGTTGAAAGGAGTTCTGTTGTATCTAGATTATACATACAAGCACGTTTTTTTAATCTTCTACTGAGGATTAAATTTCGCAGTTCAAATTTCCTTATCAGATCTTTGATCTGACTCGATTTTTACCCAATTTATCCCTATCTTCTTTTTTCGCCAATGTAATATCAATAATATATCAATTCCTGGCATTACAAGAAGATAATATTGTAAAATTAACGATAACACCTTTGAATGATTGATAAGTCTCGAGTGATTTCTGTGAAATGTTCTCAAGAGTACATCGAGATTAGGAATTAAAAGTTTGTATACTAATTTCTCTATGATGTTTGATAGTAATTTTTCGAAGTAATATTCTTTGAATATTAATGTACTTTGAGAACTTTGAATTTCTCAATGTGACAGCTCGCGGAAATTCGACTTGCCAACATACACATGCACATTATTTATTTAACCTGTGCTTGAACTCTAATTGTCCTTTATTTCGAGATCCCAACATTTCGAGATCAGTAGTGCAATTCTATAATTCGTTAT